AACCTTTCACACCTAGGCCGAAGGCAACTTTAAATTGGGCTAGGTGTGTCTAGATCTTGTGAATGCGGAATTTTGTTTGTAAAAAGTTGGTTTAGAAAGAGAGAGAGAGAATATCAAGAAATTCTTGATGAGAGTTGATGATTAATAACGGAGGTCTAAGGACGCTATTTATAATGAAAACAGTCCGAATTTGATAAAAAAGAACCAGAGTTCGAAGAGGAATAAAACACGTCGTTGTCACCACAACAGCCCATGTCGCCGCGTGACAGCCTAACGTTCGGCGCTGCAAGAGATTTTTCCACATGTTTTCTATTTTTTTTAATAAAATTAAGTCGTAAAAGTCCGTACGAGGGGTAAAATCGTAATTTCATTTAAAACACTTATTTTATTCCAAATAAAACTCATAAAACTTAATTATCAATCCTAATCCCATTAGGATTCAAAAGAACCTTCTAGAAGATTCTAGAAGAGTATAATCAATTCTAATTGCATTAGGAATGATAATTCATATTAGGCCCTCCTCTAGATCATTGGGCCACACATAAAGACCAAACCGGGACCAGTTTAGTAATTTCGCCATAACTTCCTCATTATTCATCGGAATTGGGCTTATAATATATCGTTGGAAAGATCTTTTCGAGCTCTATCCAAGTACACTATTATTGGAATATTTTCATAAAATAGAATAGGTTTTCGAAAACAGAAAGAGAGATTTTTAATAAAAATTAACCGCAACACTAGACTTTCCACACTTTCACTTCATTCGATTATGATTCGACGCGAAAGGTATTCATCACTGGGTTTGGTTTTGGGGAGACACAAATGGGTGTCTACAGGTACGAAGTGAGTCATGGAGTCACAATCGCCCGTATTGGCCTCAACTCGATTCTTATAGTGAAAAGTGATTCCTGCGATCTCAAAGGCATGCAAACAAAGATTCAATTTGCTCCAAACTATTATTAAGCTAAATTGGTTGAATATTAATGCAACATATAATTCTAATATTTGTGATCACTTTAATTAATAACAAGATTAAAAAGGAACCTAAACCGGTTGTCCAAATTATCTTATTAGGCGTGATTTTCAATTACATATTCCCTTTAACCTGCAATATGGTTATCATAAAATTATAATAGAATAAACATTAATATTGGAAGCAATTTAACAATAATAACGTTAGTCAAATCAAATAATAAATTAACCTAATCATGATACTAGCAATAAGAATAAAAATAAGAGTAATTAAGTGATTAATTACTCACTTTCCGTGTTTTCTTGAATTGCTACATCATGAATAAATTGTTAGTACTTCAATAAAAAATATAAATCAAATGGAAATTAAATTAAATTAAACAAAAAGTAGAGTTGATTTGGTCCTAACCCTCAGTTATTTATATCTTTCACGCCTTGGTTTAAGGACAGAACCTCGGGTGTGGTATGGACTCCTTGGAGTGCTTAAGGGAAGAATGGTGTAATTAGAAATATAGGTTTAAGGCTTAAAATATGAGAGAGAGAGAAGAGAATGATTTTTGGTGTAGAAGAGAGAAAGAGAGAAGGATTAGATGATCAAGATTGTTGATGATTGAAAAGGGGAGATATGAACTATATTTATAAGGAAAAAGAGGGTCGAAGAATCAAGAAAAGATAAGAAGTCGAATCAGAATAAAACTCTTGCGATAGACAACAATTTTTACGCTTTTTGTTTTTATCATATCTTTTGATCCATAAATCAGAATAAGATAAATAATATGTCGTTGAAAAGCTCTTGAAATCTAATTTCTAATACAATTAGAATCAGATTAAAATATTTTGTAGAACAAAAGATATAGCTTAAATAGTGAGACAGTGTCAGTTTAGGATAAAGTTGATATTTCATTCATACCTTTTCCGTTATAGCTCGGAATTGATATTATAATATATCATTGGAAAGATAATTTCAAGGGCTATACAACCATTTAATATTTGTATAAAAAATATGAGGCACGAAAATAATATATATCTATCTTTGAACGTCTTTCAATTCGAATAGAATTAGGACTTTCAAAAAGAAAAAGTTTTATTCAATTTCAAACTTTTTAATATTATCTTTTCAAAAGGGATAATTAAGATCTTTTATAAACTTATAGAAGCTCCTAATTAATCCTAATTGGTTTAGGAATGGGATTAAATCCCTTGGACCCTCCACATGATCATTGGGTCGTAGGTAAGGTGGGCTTAGGTTCGGTTTGGGTTCAGTTTAAAAATTTTACGCTACACCCTGGTGGCCTGGTGTAGCTTCTGCTACCTACACCCCCCTCCCCAAGTGACGTCATTTGGTTCTTTTTTGTTTTTACTTCTTTTTTTTCTTTTTTTGTTATATACCATTGCAAGTTAATTCAATGTTTTGAGTTTCAATTCCATGTAAAAATTACTGTACTCGTATAAAATAAAGAGTGTGAAGAGATTTCCATGGTATCTTATAATAAAGCAATTGATGATCCTTTGTTTCCAAAAACTAAAAAACAATTAATGATCCTAACTCACAAGCAATCAACTCAATAAGAAAATTGCAAGCCTAATCGAAGCAATTATAAACAAATTGCAGTTGTTATGGCAGCGGTGGTGGCGAGATGATGGTGGTTAATGTGGAAGCGGTGGTAGCGGCGGCAGCGAGACCACAATGGTTGTGGGGCAATGAGGCAACAGTGGTTATTGTGGCGTAATTAGTTGAGTGGGTTAGAGGGGGAAGTGAAAAGGATTAAGAAGCAGAGAAAATATAAAGAAGCTCAAATCACCATTGATAAAGCTTGTTTCTGATTTTAATGAAAAGTGTATAATTTTTAATTTTTTTTTATAAATAGTATACTCGTATAATTTATACTTGAACATATAATATTTTAAAAATGAACAAATTTATTTAATATTTGTAAATGAACATACAATTATTTATAATTGAACATATAATATTTCCAAAATAATGAACATATTTATTTAATGGTTGTAAATGAACATACAGATATTTATAATTGAACATATAATATTTCAAAAATGAACATATTTAATTAATATTTGTAATTGAACATATAATATTTCAAAACTGAACATATTTATTTAATAGTTGTAAATGAACATACAATTATTTATAATTGAACATTTGATTAAGGAGCATTATTATAGATGAAAAATGTATAAAATTTATAATTTTTCTACTTGTTATTGAAATTTTTTGAAGGTAGCACACACTCCTTATGGTAATTGTAAGAATTATTTCCATGACAACTATAATATAGCATACACTCTTATTGAAATTCCTTATTCAAATTGTAAAAATAACTACTTCATGATATAATTGGGTGCTTTAATTAGTAGTATAAAAAATGAACTTTTAAGTATATGCACATGTTCATTTAAAATTAATGCGTTTACTTGTTAAAAATGAAATAATCATGAATAAGAATGAAAATGAACATTTATCAATACGTAAATTAACATTTATATATAATGAAAATGAACATTTATCAATACATAAATGAACATTTATCATTTATTAAAGTGTGAATGACGTTATACTAACCTATAAATGAACATTTAACAAAATAAAAATGAACATTTAAAAAAAAATAAAAAAATTAAAGAAATAATAATAATAATAAAAAAAACTATGAACTATAATCTTTGTTTCTCTTCTCTGAAATGGTTTCCTTCGTTCTGCAAACAAAACTGAAGAATGTACTAATATAATTTACTAGTTTTTCAATTAAATTTACTAAGATTATAGTATAATACTTACATTGATATACAATTTTCATGGTTGATGTTTCGAACTTTCGATTACATTTTCGAAATACATCGCAACAAAAAATTTTTGTAAAATCTAGGGTTTATTCTCTTTTTCATTCCAAATTTAAACAAAATACTACCTCCGTTACATATTATTTGCAACAATTAGACATTTTTCCTCTCTACTTTATGTCAAATCGTTGCAAATAATGTGTAACGGAGGTAGTAATTTACTTTTTTAGATTTTGCGCCTTGTTTTATTGAATTTCACAGTGCTTGAAGATTCTTTTGTGATAATTTAAAACAATTTTGCAATTAAAGCTTTTGATGAGAGAGAAACTTGCAGAGAAATGGACGTGGAGAGAGAAAATGCAAAAAAGGGTGAGGAGAGATAAATTGAAAGTTAATTGAGCGTGTGGGTAGTACTCTAAATGACGCATTTAGAGGGGGGTGTAGGGTGTTCTACCTACAGTAGGGTCTAGTGCACTAATTAATATTTTGTTCATAACTTATTCGTTATAACTCGGATTTAGGCTTATAATATATTGTTGGAAAACTCTTTTCAAACCCCATCCAATTATTAAATCATTGGATCCAAATTATGGACCAAAATAAACTGGACTAAATGTTTTTTTTATAAAAAGAACACGAAATGAATGATTTTAAAGGACACGAAATGAAATATTTTGGGTTTAAAGGCACGAAAAGAGGAAAATAAGTTATAGTTTGGGGAAATGGGCTAGGCATTGGTTTGTTTATGAAATGTATTGGGATTGAATATGGATTTAAGCACTTCAAAGATTAAATACTCAACTCGACCAATAATGGCGATGAAATGTTATTCATCATCGGGTTTGATTTTGGGGAGACATTTTTAGGTATCTACAATACCATATGAGAGTGAGAAGATAACATCAGTGTTGACTCTCACATGGGAGTCACGTGACTTTTAGCCCACACATTTTTTCCCCTTTTCCCCAAATTTCCCTCCCTTTCAAACTACTATACCTCTTTCATTTCTCCCCCCCCCCTTCCTTTCATTCTTCGAATTTTAGAGCGGACGCTCCATCAAATCCAATTTTGAGGCAGAAAAAGGTTGAACGTCCGCTCCCAAGTGTATGCTCGACTCCTATGTCATGAATCTTGTTTTTCTTAATTATCACGTGATTTGCACGTGACAAGAGATGCTTATCAATATCCAATGGTTGTGATTTGATTGATGATGATGGATTAATGGTGAATATCGAGGGGTTTTAGAGCAACTAGCGAACCACTTGAATCGAAGAAGAAGAAACGGGGTCTGATAGGATTTTGGGTTTTTATTTTCTTTATTTTTCTTTATACATATCTCTAGAGTCCGAGAGTCTACTATATACATCCCATGATAGATGGCAAATTCTACCAAAGTCCCACTCGTAAAAATCAACCCATTATAATAATCTGGTCGGACCGTCACAAAGAAAAAAAATCTGGTCGCCGTGGTCGGTGACTTCAATTTCCTCCCAAATTCCTTCTCCTCCAATCTTCTCCATCAATGGCTCCTCCACAACCCCATCACGGCGGCGCTTCAAACCCCCAAACCCTTCAATTTTTAAGCAACGTCCTCTCACAACGTGGCCCTTCTTCCCTCCCTTACTCCGAAGACGTCAAATGGTTGATCCGCCAACACCTTGTCTCTCTCACCGACGCCTACCCTTCTCTCCAACCCAAAACCGCCATTTTCACGCACAACGATGGTCGTACTGTCAACCTTCTTCAAGCTGACGGCACTATTCCCATGTCTTATGCTGGTGTTACTTACAATATCCCTGTTGTTATCTGGCTTATGGAGCTTTACCCTCGTCATCCTCCTTGCGTTTTTGTCAATCCTACTCGTGATATGATCATCAAACGCCCTCATCCTCATGTTACGCCTTCTGGGATGGTTTCGATTCCGTATTTGCAGAAGTGGATCTACCCTAGCTCTAATTTGGTTGATTTGTGTCGTGATTTGAGTCATTATTTTGGGAGAGACCCGCCTTTGTATTCGCAGAGGAAACCAGATTCTGGGTCGAGTAATCCGAGTGCTAATCAGAGTCATAGTCATAGTCATGGGGATTCTGGGGTTTTGTCGAATTCTGGGTATTCGGGGTCTATGGGTTCTGGGTCTGTTGGGCATCCTTCGATGGCGGGTCCGAGGGTTTTCCCGCCATCGCCATATGTGGGTAGTGGGCGGATCATGCCCCCCTCGCCTCAGAGGCCTAGCGGGGGGACTGATGACCCGAACGAGGTTTTTAAGAGGAATGCGATTAATAAGCTTGTGGAGATGGTTCATGGAGATGTTGTGGGGTTGAGGAAGACGAGGGAGGCGGAAATGGAAGGTTTATTTAGCGCCCAAGCGAATTTGAGGCAGCGGGAGGAGCAGATTAATAAGGGGTTGAAAGAGATGTTGGATGAGAAGGAAGGGTTGGAACAGCAATTGCAATTGGTGTTGACAAATGCAGATGTGTTGGAAGGGTGGTTGAGGGAAAATGAGGAAAAGATGTCGAAATTGGGGAATAATGTCGATGTTGATGATGCATTCGAGCCTTGTGATGCTCTTTCGAAGCAGATGATCGATGCTAGCGCCTCTGATTTGGCGATAGAGGATGTCATTTATTCTTTGGATAAGGCGGTTCAGGACGGAGTTATACCTTTTGATCAGTACTTGAAGAATGTGAGGCTGTTGTCGAGAGAGCAGTTTTTCCACAGGGCTACTTCTATGAAAGTTCGAGCCGCTCAGATGCAAGCTCATGTTGCTAGTATGGCTGCCAGGACATCACAATATATGATGTGAGCCGGAGATTTCAGCTAATGGGAGTTCACCTCTTAGTCAGGTAGAATTCTTACTAGTGATTTGATTGTTGTTATTTTACTAGTGAATTGGCTGTCTCAATTTCTTTACATTCGCAGTGTTATAGTTTTTTCTCATGCTGAATTGCCAGTTTGTACTACCCTGTTACATGTGGTACCTAGACTGTATACGACATAGTGATTTGATTAATATTAAGCCGCTGCTTGCTTTGGTCTGTTGAAGATCACTAGGTACTTTGGAGAATGGAGATTATTTTTTAATTACCTAGATTGCATTTAAAACTTTATACTTCCTGTGTTCTTTTTTACTTGACCTGTTTCTTTTATCACGCTTGCCAATGCAAAACTTTAACGATCAATAACTTAAATTCTCCATGAGTAAAAATTATAAAAGTTATATATTATGATAGTACTTATTGAGACGAATCCAAAAAGATTATACATGAATATATTTTTTCTTACATATTATTCACAAAAGACGGTCAAAGGAGGGGTGGTGAACAGTGTAAAAGTCAAAGCGGGTCAAGTAATAAAGAACAGAGGAAGTATGTATACTATTTGGTAATTTAGGGACTTGAATTTCGTTGTTGTTATCCAAGTTAAGTCTCTAAGAGTAGTGGTGGTCCAGTACAATGTTGTATGTAGTATTTGTCATTGGCTTGGCTGGAACTATGTTGCATATATTTGTAAAAGGTACTTGAATTGCAGTTTCGTAAAAAGCTAAATAACTATCAAAGTATCGTGAAATGCCCACAAATATAGTGGTGAGTAGAAAGTAATATATTTCACTCTAAGAAAGCTTAGTTGTTCTAAAATTTGGGTATATTCTGTTCACCTTATTTCAGGTGTAATAAGTTCAGGTAAGTTTAAAGTTCTGATAAGGGTGACTTAAGTATAAATTACATCTAAAATAAGTTTTAATAAGGTTTAATAAGTTCAGATTAATTAAGTTTAGTAAAAATCAAGTGAATAGAGCAGATCCTTAGAGTAAGAAAACTAGATTCAAAAGAAATTCTAGAGCGTGATTACATGATATCTTTCTTTCTGCATCCCTGTTTCCATTGAATCTCTCCTTCACAACTTCTTGGCTTATGCCCCTCTCCCCTTGATGTCTCTCTGGTTAATTTTGTGCAGTAGAAAGTTCCTCTTCTCTCTTTAGCTTCTCTGGCTATCTCTATCCTCCTCAAGGAGATGCACACGTAAACTTCTGCAGTTTTAAAAGAGCTTTTAGTTTGTTCAGCCTCCATTTTATCTACATATGCTAATTTTTTTTGAACATTTTATAGATGATTAAGCGATCTTCATCTTAACAAAGAGAGGTTGCTTAGGCTGTGCAAATTTAGCTGCTTTTCCTCCTTATTTAAAGCCTCTTTTCTAATCCTATTTTATTTATTTAATTGGATGTAAGGCAATCAATGATCATCATCATCTTAACAGTAAGTAGTTGCTTAGGCTTAGCATTGTAATGTGATGTACCTGTTTCTCTTCTTTATTCGAATGCATCCTTTCTCATCCTTTATACGAAGTATTTTTTTTGCTAGATAATTGATCCCTGCTTGGCTTTGCAAACCAAAATTTACTCTTTTGTGCATTTCTGTCCCCTTCCATGTTCCTGTGTTTATGCTGCCTTTTGCAATTTCTCCTCTCTGTGCTAAGTCTCCTTCTTCCTCTCATAGTCTATCTTTGTGCTTTGATCACTACCTAAATTTTCTTTTGGCTCGATTATTGACTACGTAACCACTAGCCAAAATTAAAATTGGGAGGTTTGGTCTTTTCCACAGCTAGGCTTTCCCAAGGTTGTTTGTGATAAATTTAAAATCATTTTGCTATTCAGTAATGGGGGTAAATTGTTGAAGCTAAATTTCAATGGATAAAACTTTACGACTGAAATAAATGCTTGAAAGCTACTTTTAGTTCTTCTTTTCTCTAGTTATTATTTTGTGGGGGAGGGGATTGGGATGGTTATTGGTTGTGATTCCTTTTTGTGATAGAATTATTCAAGAGCTCTTTCAAAAGTTTTATTCCTTATCCATTCATATGTCGTATTAGAGTTGGATAGTAGGAATAAGAAGCAACCTTTACCTATGAGCTCAGATCATTATTGAATTATGGAGTCCTAAGAAGTTTCCAGCCCAATATTCCCGAATTTTCCTCCTGATTTGTATTTTCAAAATTCAGATTCATAAATAAGCTTTACATTTATCATCACTTGAAAAGAGAATGGAGGATTACTGTCATATAGGAAAGGCAATGTGTTGGACTGTGTATTATCCGACTCAATCCCACTACACAATCGGAGTTAAACTCTGACTCTGAGTACCTAAACTCTGACTCTGTCTCTGATAACCTCTGCAACCTCCCAAATCTGAATCTGGTTGTAAAGGAAAATTTTTACATTTTATATTTTATACATAATGAAATTATTGAAAACTCTACATTGTATAATAGCAAATGAAATTTCAATAGCATTATATTATATGTATAAATTATTAATTATTATAATCAAACAATTACAAAAATGATGAAACTTAGATTTTGAATTATCAACTAACAATATCAATTCAAAAAGCACATACTTGTGTTTTTCTCAATTTTGATTCTTATTACAAGTTACAAATCTAGATCTGCAAATTGATAGGAACACTTTGAGAAAGAGATTTGTGAATTTGAACTAATACACGCATAATTACACATGACAACCAAGTTCATTGATATGAGAGGATAAACATTAATTGATGAGATCGAAATATTAGACGGATAAATGTGGGGTATTTTTTTAGAGAAAAGGTACTTTGAGTAGAAAGAAAGATTAGAGGAGAAGATGGTTCAATATAGCAAAGCAGAGGAAAGTGGTTGAAGCATTAAAAAAAAAGGGTTTTGGTTCTTCACTTCTTTTATACCCCCTAAAAAATTGCAGTAAAAGTCCTAAAAATATATATAGCGGGTCAGACTCAGACTTGGGTCAGATCCATTGGGCCTCAAGCAAGATTTGAGTCCAATCCGACTTCATTCGAATTTGGACTATTTTAATTGGACTTGGATTCAGATTTGTCTTTCCCGGATTTGGATAGGAGATTTTTTTTCTTCAAATCAGGTCGGACTTAGATTGAATTAAGGTTGAATTTCTGTACCTATTATTATCTTTAGTAAGTATTAAAAAGCACCTTAACTACTATGATACTCAATCATTCTAATCTTTTCCAACAAGCCTTCTCTGAACTCTTCATCATTGGGAGAGCTAGTCCTTTTCATCTGTGCTGGAGTTTCTTGAAGCCTTATTTCCTTGTTTTTTTTTTTTTTTTTTTTTTTTTTTTTTATTTTATATATATATATATATATATATATATATATATATATATATATATATATATATATATATATATATATATATATTAGTATCTGCTGAGTTTTGGTATATAATGTATCCTTAGTGAAAGATCCATCTTTATGTCCTATGATTAGCTGGAAGCTAGTAATTATCCCCCACAGCATTATGAGGTTGTCCACCCTTAAAGCAAGTTTAGCCCCAAGTCTTAAGACTTGGATGTGACATCATTTTTTGTGGTCCCCATTGAAAATTATGTCATCAAATTCTTATTAAGACTCACTAAGACTTACACAAATTTATCACTTTAGCCCTAAGACTTAAATATTTGACATATTATATGTAGAAAAGTGTAAAAATAAAAAAAAAGGGTAAAAATAAAAGTGAGGTGGGTGAAGTGGGTCCCAATCTCAAGTCTTAAGTTGAGTCTTGAAATTTCAAGACTCAGCTTGAGACTTGCTTGAGATTTTTGAAGAAAAATGGGAAAAGTCTTAATTATAAATCTTAAGACTCAAAATGATGATGTCACCCCAAGTCTTAAGACTTGGGGCTAAACTTGCTTTTAGCCTTAACTGCACGTGCCTTTTAAATTGTACATAGATTGAATTTCAGCTTTTATCTACAGACTACAGTCATTGTGGGTTTATGAAAATATGTGTAAGATTTCTCTTTCTTGCTAGTCTGATGCTAAGTATTGCTAACTAACCCTAGTGTTTTGAATATGGTGTCCTATATTACCATACCCTACCATTTCTCTATTCCTCTAACAAGGCTCCTGATAAAGGCTGGGTTGTCTGCCGAGCAAGGGTGTTGTATGCCATTCCCATACATTATCCAACAATATTTCAAAGGATTTAATCCTTATCATTTCGATTCCATAAATTTTTTTTCAATCTGAGTCTTGATCTCAAAGGCAGAAGATGACTTGCCTACTACTTATGTTGAGTAAGGGTTTCATGTGCTCGTTGTTGTAATCTATTGTGGAAACTTTGTGAATGTGAGCCTGAACCTGTTAAGTGTTAACTTTGTTTTAGTGTTGTCCTAAAAGGTGATACAAGGAACATACTTGAATTGGTTTCCGTATCAAAATGCGGAACATACGCAACCTAAGTCGCTAGCTGTCGTGATCGGAGGTGGCGACTCTTCTTTGTGGCTGAGCCAAATGCGGTTGTTTATGCAACTTTGCAACTTTCATTTGATTGGTTCTCTAATCGACAAATTCCAAATTTTTTTCTCTCTTCTTTCATGTGCTTCTAATTTATTTATTTTTAAGTCTTTTTCTCTCTCCTATCTCCTCTCTCCTTGTTCCACGCGGCCATAACTTGGGCTACCCTTTTTAAAGAAATTTGACGGCTAGCGCTTTTTAATTGGTGATTTAGCTTTGATCTCCCTAAGCTACTCTGGGCCTTCAATATACGTTGGGCCTTCAATAAAATTATTTCTTAAGCAACCCACTTACTTAAACACAACCATATAAGATATATCTTCCTTTCACTTTAGTTGCAACACTTTGAATTTATAAAATTTTTAACTACCATATTTCTAATTATGGATAAGTAAAAAAATATGAAAATTAGATATTGTGAAAATATAAATCGAGACAAATTTAACAAGATTCCCCATTACTATTATTCTCAACATATAAACAAATAAAGGTAAATTGTAAGAATATGAATAGTGTAAATTCTGAAGTGTTGCAACTAAAAGTGAACATAATAAGTATAGTAACAAATTCAACTGGAAATATATTTAATTTATATCCAAATAAAAATCAATAAAAAATCACTGACAATTTTTTATTAATTAATCTATTTATTTCGTACTCAATTGTACCAGATTCACCATGGGTAATGTTTTGCATATCTGTTATTTTACCACGTATGGAATTGAGCCCTATCCCGTGCAACCATGGTCCTAATCTCTTGTGCTTTGAAAAATTGAAGACACTGACCTGCCACAATTTACCTCAAAACTGATTGTATATTCTTCCATGTTTTAACTTAAATCTAGATTAGCAGCTTCAGTTAAAGAATGTTTTTGGCAGTTCAAGGGATGTAGCTAATCTCACCTCATCCGCCCCTTGAAATAAATTCTCAGACTTTACTTACCTTCAGGTGTATGGACTAGTGTGTTTGTTCAAGGATTTGATCATAAATGATAATGAGGGGAGTTTTCTCCCATTGCTGTCCACTTCCCTGGGGCACTCCTAACTCAAAAATTTCTGACCTTGATTTTTGTTACTTGAATATAAGAGAGCAATTATAACCTTTCTTCTATGCTCTATAGTTTGAAAATGTATTTGGCTTCCTTTTCAACTTACTTTTTAGCCATCTTGTTTCAGTAGGTCTACTTGCTCTTTGTGCTAAGATTTTATTGAATGTCACTCAACAAACTATGATATACTCCTTTAAGGACGGTTTAGCAGTAGCGTGTTCCCACCTATGAGGAACTTGGGAGATCCTGGGTTTGAATAAAATAGAGGGATTATAAACCATCTGTACTTGACTACTTTCCTACCTGCAGCTATCTTTGACTTTTATGAAGGAATGTACTACTTGTAATACACATTTTACTTGACATTCTTGTTTCTGATTAATTATGTGTTGACATTTTAATATAGATTTTTGTCATCTTTCAATGACCCGTCAACTTCTATATTTGAATTTACTTAAAATATAAAGTTGACTTGCAATGTTACAAGTGTCATGAATAAGAATTAGGTTGGGAAATGATTCGTGATGTTATTGTTATTAAGATGGATTATAAGAAAATATCTCCATGTTTAGAGGGTTTGGGGTTTAGCCAATTCAGCTTCTTTTTCGTTTATTAGCAAATTAGCAAGTGTGTTAGATAACAAAAAGTGATGGAACTCGATTTTTATTTTATAATGAATTACGAGTGAAGTAATTGCCTTTACGTGTATGAAGTGTGTAATGACTTTGAGTCATATTCTGCTTGTTTCATCAATTAGCTTGTGTGCGTGTCAACACTTTAGTTACCAGTGGTTCTAGTAATACTTGCTTTGTTCTTTTTTAATTGCAATGTTGGGGTTTTCATGTTTGCCAATGTACTTTATATATTAATAATTTTTTTTAATTCTAGTTGTAGCAGAGTTATAAAATGAATATTTTAAAACTATACATCGAGACGTATCTAACAAGACCCCAAATGACTGTTTTTCCTAGCTTATAAATCATAAAAGACAATTAAAGGAGTTTGTGTGAATAATATAGAATTTCTAATGTTGGGAGGAAGTATAATTTTAGCCTAATATTTCAAGTTGTTGCAAGTATTTTCGGTAAATACATATAGCTATAAGAATACATACATAAACAGGTTCTCTTATTATTATTAGTACTACCTCCGGTTCATTTTACTTGCAACAATTTCCATTTTGAGGTGGTTCAAATTACTTGTAACAATTTTTTTTTTCCTTATTTGGTAACTTTTAGGCTGTAAAATGACATATATGCCCTTACTTTTTTTCTTAAACACCCTTCTTAAATTACAAATCTGATTTCATTAAATTAAACCCCAACCTTAATTAATTAAACTCTCACCCCATTTAATATTCTCTCTCCTCCTCTAACCCCATTTTCATGGTGGCTTCACGGTGTTACGAGCGGCGGGGGGTTGCAGTGGGTCGGGTTTCGCGGTTTTAGATCGGCGGTTTCGTGGGTTAGTTTCGTGGGTTTGGTTTCATGGGTTTCTGGGTTGGTGAATCGTGCTGGGTTCGTGGTTGCAGAACGGCGGCGGGGGGTTGCAGAATGGCGGCGTCGTGGGTTTGATTCGTTGGTTGGGTTTCGTGGTTTCAGATCGGCGGGTTTCGTGGGTTTGGTTTTGTGGGTATGGTTTCATTGGTTTGGTGGGTTGGTGGATCGACAATGCTGGGTGCGTGGGGTGGTGGTGGTGGGTCGGCGGGTCGCTGGGTTCGTGGGGTGCTGGGGTTCGTGGGTTGCTGGGTACTGCCTGGGTTCGTGGGGTGTGGTGGTGCGTCAGCGGGTTGCTGGGTGCATGAGGTGGTGGGTGTGTGAGGTGGTGGTGGTGCGTCGGGGTTTGCTGGGTGATGCTTGGTGGTGTTGGGCTATTCAATTTAATTAAGTTTGAATTTTTTTTTTTTTTAATAGTTAATCGCGTACCCTTATTTTTCCGTAATCATGCTTTCAATCTTTTGCCTTGGTTTGCGTAAAGTTGTCCTTTGTTGCGACTAAAATGAAACGGAGGTAGTATTATTTATCAAGGTCCTTATTAGATCAAGATAAGTTATGTATCTTTTATGTATATATCAGGATATTGACAAAGAGGATATGAGGTGTTGTAGGAGTAAGAATAAGAGTTGGAACCACTAGGGGGGGGGGGGGGGGTTGGTAAAAAAGGGAAAAAGTATGAAATCAACAAAGAGATTGGGTAAGAAAGGAAACTAAAAATCTTGGATTTACTTCGATGTTTGTTTAAAGAGGAGAGAGAAAGAAAAGAAAAAAAGAAACCCATCTTTCTCTTCCATGAAATTACTATACTCCTTCCCTCTCAACCCTAACTCCACCCTAACTCCACCTCCACAAGCACACTAGCACTAGCCAACACCACACTTGGATGCTGAACCGTGCACATGACCACCCAACCTCACCGATGATCGGTTCTCACACTCTTTTTTTCCCTCCTAAATCTGATTTATTATGGGTTATGGGTGGGAATATCATAGAAGTTAGGTGGTATTTTGAGTTTGGGTAACGTTCCGATGGATGGTGTGGTTATTTTTGGGGATGATGGGGGTGGTTTTTCTAGGGAATAAAGGAAGTTTTCCAGTGGTTGGGAGTGGGTATCTGAGGGTGGAGATGGTGTTGAAATTTTGTGAGGGGGTGCATTTTCAATGGGATGATGGTGGGTTATTGGTGGTTGAGGTGGATTTTCGTTGGTGTGGTGACTTTTTTGAGGTGGTTAGGGTTGGCTAGTGAGGCAGCAAAGGTGAGGACGTGCTAGTGAGGGTGTCGGTGGTGGGGTAGTGGGTGTATGGTGGTGTGGTGGTAGCTTAGGGAATGGGGGGATTGAAAAAACATGGGGGTGTAGGGAATCATAGAGGAGTTTTGGGGTTAGGAGGGGGTAAAGGAAATGAATAAAAATGGCATAACAAACAACAGTAAAGGGAATCTACGCTATTTTTTACCTTTTTACTCTATACCAAACGGCACCTTTGTGTGTTAACACTTAACAGCCCAATAGTACAGCAAATATGGTACCTTGTGCAGACTATAAGTCTATAAGGTGTTAATTTCGACGATGGAAGGTTTACATTTTAGTTCCAGCAGTAATTAAGGATTTGAAAAGCTGAGCAGGTTGAGACTTTGAGTATTCCCTGGATGAAGAGTAAGCAAATAATTAGCAGAGAGCTTGACAAAGAAACTCGTATAGGCAGAATTCTTTTCCCATTTCTCTAAAGCTTTTACTCTTTTACTTGAACTGATCTTAGGGTTCTGGCTTTGCTGCAGGATTATATGTCAAAGTAAATACAAAGCAAACTGGAATCAATAAGTAGCCTGTTAATATTCCATGAATGAAGTCATTGCTGGGCTGGCCAATGGAGAAACCTGTATGCGAGTGACCGGAGGAAACGTGAATACGAGCTTTGGTTTAATATTGTTCATAACATACATTTATTGTATCATAATAGGATATACAATGATTGCATGGATATTTCCTAGAATATACCATGCTGTTTTTTGTTTCCTATTGTTTGTCTCGTTTGGGCTGATGATCAATCTTATGCTTACTTGATTTGATGTGTTAGTCTATTATGATCAATTTATTTTTTTGGGGATTGAGCTTTATGACCTTAATTGTGTTTAATCTCCCTATACAATGATGACTTGTAAAAGTCAGCAATTGTCTGACGGAAAAAAAATACTCGCTCCTTGTTTAAATAAGTACAACGTTTCTCTTACCCATATGTCAATTTAAAACTTTGATTGATAATATCTTTAATTATCAATATGTAAAATTATAACAAAAGAATATTAATAAACTATTCATTAATACGATTTTCCACTAGAATGTATTTATTGTTATATATAAATCACAAAAATTAGTAAAAGTGAATTAAATGAATAGTGTAAGAGCATGAATATTGTTAAGGAAACAACTTTCCATTCACATATTGAGGAAGTAGAAATGGAGGAATGTTACGTATTTATTGATACATAGCTTGACAATTCGTAAATATTTTAAGAATTAACATTACTAGTCTACCACTGAAATGTGAAATGTATCATTGTTATTACAATAGTATTGTAAATAGTAAAATTGCACTAAAGAATGTTACTATGATATACTTTTGAAGCTATAATAGTATAATAGTAGTTTAATGGTATTAAAATGGAAAAAAATAATCTCACCTTTACGTGGTCTGACAATAGCAATCTCACATTTTGATTATTACGAGGCAATCCCACTTTTATATGTCATCTTCTTTTAACAAACCTTTTTACCTACAACTTGTTAAATAGGTTAAAATAATTTTTTAAAAAATTTTTTACAGCCACGTGTCATTCAATAATTGGTCAAAAAAAAAAATTTAAACAAAAACAAGTAAAATAATTTTTTTTTAAAAAAAAAAAACCACCACCACTAGCCACCCCCTACATCATCCTATTATCGCATCATATACATATACATGTATATAGAACCGAGTTATTGTGAGAACTAGCCGAATAATGAGAACTAAGAACTAATCACATCCGAGGAGGGGGTGCGCGTTAGATCAATGGCTGGGATCTATTCTAATAAATTAAACCGTGATTTTCTCTCTCATCATTTTCTCTCTCCTCCACGCGTTTTCTTGTCATTCTCAGGGAAGCCATTTTCGTCTTCAACTATTTTCATGCTTCCCAACCATAATCATGATGCAATTGCTACTATGAACCAAGACTGACCCTGAGCACGGGATGGAGACTTGGAAAATTATACCCGAAAACTAGCCAAAATCAAAGATATCAGGGCAGTTTTGGGGGTATAATAGATTGAAATAAGGTAGAAATTTGAGAGAGAGAGAGAGAGTATGAGACTGGAAGGATTTTTTATTTATCATTTCATACTTAGTTGATGGCTTATATAGCCTTGATTTGCACTATAACATGATGGCTTATATAGCCTTGATTACAATAGTACTGCTGATTCATATATAAGACAAATTAACGGTCACTAGAATAGCTGTACTGACATTCCCTGGACATTTTCTTGATTATTCTTCCTTACACCTTCCTTTGCACCTTTCCTTGAACTTCTCCTGTACCAGCTCATCATTATCCCTTTCCCCAGAAACTTTTGTTGAAATTTTTGTTGATTCTTCTGCTGACTCATTATTCTTTGCCAGCTTAGCTAGCTTGCCACTTAATGCAATAGTGTGTGCATCAATACTTCCCCCATTAGGAGATCCTTGACCCCAAGAATCAAAATCAAGAAAATTTTCTTCCACTTTAGCAGCATCCTCCCAAGTTATTTCTTCTATAGGTAATTGATCCCAGTGAATGAGCCATTGCACTATAGCATGATTCTTGCGTTTCACACTCCTTTTATCAAGCACAACTAGTGGTTTCTTGGGAAGAGAGTGGGAATCAGGGTTGATTGGCAAGGGTGGGACAAGGTTTTGGGCTGGTGGGGTACCATGGTGCTTCTTAAGAAGTGACACATAGAAGGTTGGATGAATTTTTGCATTCGGTGGGAGCTGTAGGGTGTAAGGGCTCGACGTTTGAGAAGCCACTTTAGAGCCGAGGTTGGAAAGGTAGCTTACACCCTACATGTAATCCTCTGTATTTTAAAATATTTTATAAATGAAAATTTATTTTATTTATAATATATTTAATTGTACTTTTCCGGAATTTAAGTTCAAAAATTTCAAATTATTAATAAAGGTCGAAAATTATTTTAGCACAAACTATTTTATGAACCGATATTCTATAATTCATGATCATACAAACAAAGTCTAGTCCATTTCATTTACCTAATTGACTCGTTAATTTTATGAGGTCCAATCTTCTTACTTACCCTACAACATTCTCTCCTATAAATACCCAATTAATCCCCATAATTTTCCCCACACAAAAAGTTAGTTGATTTCTTTTCCCTTTATTTTATTTTATTTATTTTATTTTTTCTCAAATCTTTTTTTTTTTTGCTTTCTTTTCCTCCTCCTTACGTGAGGAAGCTTGGCTGACCCACCTGCCACCTACTGCCGGCGGAACCCACCTGCCTCCATCACCAGCAAGTCGCTGGCGACCACCACCAGCAAGTCGCGGGCGACCACCACCCGTGCCTGCCGCTGCAACCACCGCCAACCCACCTTGCTTTCTCCCCTTTTTATTTTCTTATCTTGCTTAAAATGATTAGTTTTGTTTATGTTTGATTTTGTAGTATAAAGATTATATTTTTAGTATCAAATTCATGTTTTTAATAGTCTAAAGTTATAATTTCAGATTATAATGTGTTGTAAATTTTCAGATTTTGTAATTATAAAACCTAGGGTTTTAATTTATTGTAAATGGGGTTTTAGGGTTCTTATGACTAATTAAGTTGGGGCTTTTGCTCCAATTGTATTTCTAATGTATGATTAATTAAGCATAAAAACATGTTTTAAAGGAAGTTTTAAGGAGTTTTAATCAAATTTATATTGCTGAAATTTATTTAAAGAAGTAATGTTGTGATTTAATGAAAGGGGTTTGATTTCCCATTAAAAAAAGAGATTATTTAAGGGTTTTAAAATAATTTTCAGATTTTTATAAAGTTTTAAACTTGCTGTAATTCCATGAAAAAGGTGTATTTTAAGGTTTTCATGAAGGAAATTTAAAGAACTATATATAAACTTTAAACATGCATGTTTAGGGATGTATCAAGAACTTTGTATCATATACAGAGAAGACTGGGCTAAATTGTTTGGTTATACATTGTGATTTCCGTATATTGTGTATGAGGCAGGTTTGAGATATAAGTATATGACTACGGTTGTGGGTGATGTATATGTTATTGTCTTATCAATTGGATATGTTATGATTAATTAAAGGTTATATGGATTCTTGGTTGTCTATAAGTGGAATTAATTTTGATAATGGTTCCACGAGGTTAATTTAATACTCTTTCATGAATTAATTATGATTTGAGTAGAGAGAGTTTATTAAAGTCTTTTAAGACGAGGTTCAGGATTTGAAGTGCGTGCCCTATGCACTTAAGGTGTTTATACACCGAGGTAGTTAAAGGGTTCAATACTAAATATTGTTTGCCACTAATAAATCAAGAATTGAATTGAAAATTTGGATTGCTTGGAATGATGTGATATACTGATATTTGATTGATTATATTGTATTGTATATGAGTCATCACCAATTCTAAACATGTAAATCACATAAGTGTAAGATGGATGAGCAATGAAACTCCGGATGTGTGCACATCTAGAGTATTGACAATTAGGGGTTGGGGTACACGGGGTATTAGCCGTGCACTTTTATAGAGGCCGTCTGATCTACGAGTCTCTTATTTCAAATATACTTTTTAAAAACTAGGAGTTAGATGAGATCTCATACTACCTACAGTTACAGAGTCGTGCCCGTGGTCGTTGGATGTTTTATTGATGTTTCCGAAAGGAGACATGGGGTTTTCTTTTATTGATGTTCCAAATGGAGCATGGGATGGACAACCTTGTTTATTGCTTAATCTAATGATTATAATGAAATTAATAAATTGTCATTAAATAGAGGAGTCTTAGTACGTAATGTTTGAGTCGTTAATTAAATTGCATGTCATGATTGATTATTAGTAGCATGTTAGGGATTTCTTATTATATTTTGCAGCTTGTATGTACTCAGTTTTTCTTTGGTCGTGGCCTTCGCCTTTCAATGACCCTGTTATGATCCAATTTTTACACTTGTAATATCAGGGAGCAAATAAATCACAGGTATTTGCATAAAGTGGGACTTGCATAAAGTGGTGGGTAATTGATTGGAGAGTTGGTTCTACTTATGATTTATTTCTCGCAATACATTAAACTTTCTTAAACTCTGCTTTGATTTAAATGCTACTTTGTTAATTGAGATTAAGGGCCTTCATGGTTCCAACTTGTAAGATTTAGTTTGGATTTTTAATCATTGGTTTGAAACTTTAATTTAATTGAACTCGTTTTCCGTTGCTAAATTCTAAAATATCCTTAACGTTTGAACACGTGACGGTAGCACGTCAGTAATTCTCTTGGATTTTGTTCAGGGTATTCACAAGTTTAAAGAGAGAATTATTGGGGTGTTACACTACAGCCCCCATCCCTTAGTCATAATTAAGAGTATTTTTGGCTCTTTAGAGTCACTTTTTTTTTTTTTACTAATGTGTGCTTTCGGGTGTTTTTGTAGTTTTGGTTGTGTTTTATTAGAAAATTGCATATTTGGAGCTTTTTCCCTAGATTATTTTGAGCAACTACGAGCATCGGAAGACCACGACCATTTTTCATAGCCCAAGGCCGGTTGGAGTCATCAAACCGGTGATTAAGGGCTCGACGTTTGAGAAGCCGAGGCATTGGACACCGAGATCAAGCCCATTAAAGGAAATTCGGATTGGGTTAAGTAGTAAGGCCCAATCAAAGTCCAAGGATGCCCAAGCTAGCCTCTCCCGTCTGGATGTGGCTTCATCCGAAGGCGCGCCTGGCTGTGCGGGGCAGAAGGAGGAAAGACAAGGTTCCTCGCCCTGTCTCGTGCCCGACCGGGCGCGAGAGCTACCTTAAGAATACAAAAGGCGGGCCTAGCCGGGTGATGAGTGACATTTGTGTCACTCTTAGGGAGTAGTTTTAGAGTTATTTTCGTGTTT